AGGTACTTATGAATAAATTTAACCCCGGAGGTAAAAGACTTGTACTCAGTAAACTACAGAACATCGAAAAAAAGAGAGAAGATATAAACAAGTAGAAGAATATACCTTGTTCAAGGATTTGTAGAATCAACATCAGTAAAATGTCCATACTACCCAAAGCAATCTATAGATTCAATGCAATTCCTATTAAAATACCAACAGAATGTTTCACAGATCTAGAACAAGCACTCCAAAATTTATATGGGACCAAAAAAAAAAAAAGGTCACTGTATTCAAAACAGCCTCGTACTGGCAGAAGAACAGGCATATAGATCAATGGAACAGAACAGAGACCTCAGAAATTAACCTAAGCCATTATGCTCAATTAATATTTGACAAAGTAGGAAAGAGTACACAACAGAGTTAATGCAGTCTCTTCAATAAATGGTGTTGGGGAAATTGGACAGATACTGCAAAAAAATGAAATAAACTCCCAACTTACACTATACACAAGAGTAAACTAAAAATGGATAAAAGACTTAAATGTAAGTTGTAAAACCATAGAAATCTTAGAAGAAACCATAGGCAGCAAAATCTCAGACATCTCATCAATATATTTACTGATACATTTCCTAGGGGAAAGGAAACTAAGGAGAAAATAAACAAATGAGACTACATCAAAATAAAAAGCTTCTGCACAGAAAAGAAATCATCAACAAAATGAAAAGGGAACCCACTGTCTGGGAGAACGTATTTTGCAGTGATATATCTGATAAATGGTTAATATCCAAAATATATAAGGAACTCATACAACTTAACAAAAGGAAGACAATCCAGTTTAAAAATGGACAAAGGACCTAAATAGACATTTCCCCAAAGTAGACATACAGAAGGCCAAGAGACATTTGAAAAAATGCTCAAATTGACTGATCTTCTGAGAGATGCAAATTAAAATGACAATGAGCTACCACCTCACACCTGTCAATGCATATCAACAAATCAAAAACATGTGCTGGTGAGGATGTGTAAAAAAAGGAACCCTGGTACACTGTTGGTGGGAAAGTGGACTGATGCAGCCATTGTAGAAAACAGTATGGACTTTCCTCTTGGGCCCTCACCCCATCCCCTGGGGTGCCAGCAGCATCAGGGGAGTGTCGTGGGGTGCCAGAAGCATCCGCGGAGTGTGTGAGGAGCCGTGGGGTGGCAGAAATGGCCATGATGGCAGGCTAGGCGTAGGGGGCCCTACACATGTATGATTTAATCGTGTGCTATGCCTCTAGTCTATATATATATAAAAGCCAAATGACTGGAATGCTGGAACAAACAGAATGACCAGTTGCTTTGATGTGCATTGAGGCTCCAATTGGCCCCCAAACCTATCGAGGAGGTGCTGGCTGGCTGACCTCCTGCGGTCCTCCCTGCTGGTCAACCTTCGTGGCCCCTCCCCCTGGCAGGCCCCGTCCCCAATTACCCCCCACCCCAATTAAGGGCGGAGCCAGCCAGCCAACTGCCTATAGCCTCTCCCCCTGGCCAGCCCAGCCCTGATTGGCCTCAATTGGGGCAGGCCGGCTGGACCCCACCCATGCATGAATTCGTGCACCAGGCCTCTAGTTATACATAATTCTCTTTGTATGTTGCTAATTCAATAGGCAATTTTATTTACATTGGCTATAGTTAATATTATTGATTACTTCCTTATTTGTAGAAAACTATTTCTTTGGGTTTTGTGAATTATACTTTCCAGGCTTTTTTTTTTTTTTTTTTTTACCTCTTTGGTGGTCTCCTTTTTTAAAGTTACCTTTATTTAACGATTAAATACTGGAGTGCCTCAAGATTTCATCCTGTCTTACTTTTTAAAATATTTTTGTTTCAAACTTTCCCCCATAGACAATCATCCCCTTTTTTTCCACTCAAGTATTATCAATTATTATCTTTATGATAATAATTTAGAAATATACAACTCTTGCTATGAGCTCCAGACATGTGCCTAATTAACCTACTAAATCATTCTACCTTAAGCCCAATAGATCAAAATAAAATTTCCCTCTACTAAACTCATCCCTCTTCCAGTGTTCCCTGTCTTAGTGAGTGGTAGTAATACTATCCAACTGGGTAAATCTGTATCTTTTTAATATTATGTCCTAAATAGCTGTCAAATGTGTCAACTTTACTCTGTATCTAATGGTTACATCTTTGTGCCAATATCCATCATCTATAGTATGCTTAAAATCCTGAGTTATGAATTCATACTCACTGGGAGGAATTTTCAGTATACAATTAAACTTCTGATTTTGGATTCCAAGTTTTTCAGTATTTCAACCCACAATTACTTGCTATGTTCTTAATTAAGTGTATATGATCACATTCTCTAAGTATTTGTATTATCTTGAGCCTTTCAATGAATATTTCTTAAAGTATAATTGATGGACCATGTTTATATATCACCTAAGATACCTATTACAAATGCACATTTCAGAGCTCCAAATCAGACTTACTGAATCAGTTTTGTTGTTGTTGTGTGTTGGTTAGGTTATCTTCTCCTTTAATAGAGTCTCATAGAGGATTATGATGCATGTTAACATTTGAGGATCTTGGAATAATTTTGTTAATATTGCTGACACATTTTATTGTTAGTACATGCTGGTGTGGTTGATGCAGTGGTTTTGTTGCAAAAACAGAGATGCATGTTGAAGCCTTCAGAGTGTATGGTGAGCTTTGCTGGAGAAATGTATAAGCATGTAGCCTATATGCTTCAGAGTTGTGCTTGAACCTGTCCCCTCCAGATCTCTTTGATGAAGTCTAATAGCTGACAGTCCCACTGTCTTGTCCATATTTCCTTAGTTTTGTGACATCATTTCTTCTACCAGAAAAGACTTATGTTTAAATTTAATCCCTATTGGGAAATATAATGTATCAATTAGGGTCAAATCAACAGACAAAAATGACACAGTAATCTGAATAGGGACGTTTAGCCCAGAAAATTATTAAAACAGAATACCTGCAAGAAAAGGTTAAAAAAAACCTCTAGAGAATACAGGGATAGAAGATATAGAGAACAGCCTCGACCTCTAGAATTGTCCCACCTTAATCCAGGGCTGATTCAGATCTTGTGAAGGAGTAGCTGTTATCATCAGATGGCAAGAAGTTTGTTCGGGTGCCATGGTGGTGGAATTGGAACTCTAGGCAGCTGCACATAGGATTGGGTATACTGGAAAGCCATCATCTGTGGTGCTGGGAGAAACCATCTTCTAGGGAGGTGCTGCACTTCTTGCTAGGAAGCTATCCACAGGCTGGTATGCCAGAAAGCTTCCCAAAGGAGGTTTTGTATTGGTGGTGTCTTTTGATAAGCAGTTTTGGGATTGTACCATACCAAGGACCTTGCTGGAAGCCACCCATGGGGGTGGTCCTGTTGAGCTAAGTATATATGGTGCACTGCTCTAGGACTGGAAAGCGGAGAGAGAGAGAGAGAGAGAGAGAGAGAGAGAGAGAGAGAGAGAGAGAGAGAGAGAGAAACTAAAAAGAAAAGCTCTTTTTTTCCTAGTGCCTATAACCCTCTACTAACAAAGGTTACCTTCATGCCACCTGTCAAAAGAGAAACATTCATTATAAGCACAACAATGAAGAATGGATTTTAGATGAGAGACAGTAAATTGATAAGTGTAGCTGATTGCTACACCACTTTTTAGCGCAATTTATGATTGGTGTCCTCTTCTTTATGATTTTGCCTTTGTCCATAGAGTTTCCATACATTTTCTGCTTCCTTTCCATTTGTTCTGCATTTCCCAATCTCAGACTTAGAATAAATAGCCCCATATTTACTTGTGATGTTTATAGCCTAATCCCAATCCAAATAGCCATTACTGAAATTAAGACTCTTAAATCCCCAATGCTAGAATTCACTAGTGAACCTGGATTTTTACTTTTCTCTTTTCTAAGTCCTATCAAAGGTTTCTGATTTCACTGTTACTTTTCTTGCTTATGTCTGTACCTAGGTTTTTTTTTATTGTTTTTTTTTGAGCACTCATTTTTGCTGAAATTTCTTTAAATAGACTTACTTCCTAGAATACCGATTATCATTTGTCATCTATACTAATAAAAGGGTAATATGCTAATTAGACCAGATAGACCAGATGTCTTCCAGACGTCCTTCCAGAAAAAGCCATGGTGGCCGGGGCTGAGGCAGAAGCGGTTAGGGGCGATCAGGCGGTTAGAGGCAGTTATAGGCGGTTAGGGGTGCTTAGGCGGTTAGGCAGGCAGAGGCAGTTAGGGATGATCAGGCAGGCAGGCAGGCAGAGGGGTTAGGGGTGATTAGGCAGGCAGGCAGGTGAGCAGTTAGGAGCCAGAGGTCCTGGATTGCGAGAGGGATGTCCAACTGCCAGCTTAGGCCCAATCCCTGTGGACCCACTCCCTGCCCCATGTACAAATTTCGTGCACTGGGTCTCTAGTCTTATATAGTGGGATTTGCTGATTCTCTCAACTGTTCATTACTCTGTAGCTTGGTGTATTCCAAAAGGCTTGAACAACCAAGTGGTTTTCAGTCTTCCCCATGCAGACTGAGGCATGCCACCTCTATAGACCTTTATATATTAACTTCTCAGAGTCAGTAGTAGAAGATATTAGTCTTTGACAACAAATTATTGTGTCTTTCCATAATTTATCATAATAAGAGTATTCTTAGAATGGATTTTGAGGAAGTGATTGCTTTAAATTTCCTTGTAAATAATTTGAATTGCATTTAATGCTGCTACAATTGTTATTGCACTTGCTTGAAATTCTTAAATGTTAAAATAATAAGAATATTGGATTTGAGTTTTGACATGTAAAAGTCAACACTTAGCTGTTATTATGTTGCTAGGTAATTTCTCATATCAGTATTTTGTAAAATATTAGTATTTGATTATAGCTATGGATAGGAATAACATAAATTATTTAGATACAATAAATGAAACAATGACATTTCTTTGAGATAAGAGAACAAAATGGGTTATTTCCTAATTACTTTGTTAATTTTGTTGTTTTAGATAAGTAAAGATCAAAGTTTTTCAGAAGTAGAGTTTCCAATACCTGATAAAGCAGTCACTATAAACATTGCACAAGTAGTAAAGCAGGTGCAAAAACTTGAAGCACTGAAAAATCGGCTTAAAGGACAATCTACACAACCTTCGAAAGTCATGCTATCTAAGTCCAAGTAAGTAAAATATGAGTTATTAGAATTGAAAACAAGAGTGGGTATGCAATTAATAATGAATGTCAGATAAGGTTTTAGATATACTATGTGTAGAGCTGCTAAGTTAAATCAGAAGGTCTAGTCAGTTTGTACCTATTTGAAAATTTTAATAGTTTGAATTGTTACTATTTAATACATACACACTAGCCATATGTGGCTAATAAAGTTAAAATTCAACTTAATTAAAAAAAACAATTTCTTAGTCATACTAGCTATATTTCAGTTACTCTTTTTAGTATGATTGGGTGGGAAACTAAAGTATAATTAAATATTTTATTATTCATAAACATCATTATTTAAAATTGCATAGGAACAGGGTATGTTCCAATAAGTAAATTCCTACTTCTTAGTTAAGAAAACCCCCTTCTCCCCCCTGGTTGGTGGAAGATTAAAATGAATTGATTACAGTGATACATTGTCTGTTGATGCTGATTTTTGATATTTGAGGGTTAGATGTCTTGGAATAAATAGATGAATAAATCATCATTATAGAATATCTTCAGTGATTTTTTTTCACCTCACATTGTGTGTGTGTGTGTGTGTGTGTGTGTGTGTGTGTGTGTGTGTGGTGAGAAAACTTCAGACCCACTTTCTTAGCAAATTTCAAGTATACAATAGCAATATTAACTGTAAATATCATGATGTACATAAGATCTCTGGGATTTACTCAACTTATAACTGAAAATTTGTACCTTTTGAACAACATCTCCAAATTTCATCAATGCCCCAACCCTTGGAAACCACCATTGTACTCTCTGGTTCTAAGTGTTAGACTTTATTATGTTTCACATATAAGTGAGATCATTTGTCTTTCTCTGTCTGGCTTATTTCACTTAGCATAATGTTCATCGGGTTTATCCATGTTGTGACTAATAACAGCATTTCCTTTTGTTTATGGCTCAATAAATTTCATTGTATATATTTGCTACAATTTCCTTATCCATTGATTGTAAGTTAGGTTGTTTCCATAGCTTAGCAGTTTTAATATTGCAGTAAACAAGGGAGAACAAATATCTCTTTGAAAATCGATTTCTTTTTTGGGAGGAGTGGGGGATATTTACTTGGAAATGGGATTGCTGGACCTTATGGTGGTAGTTCTTTTTTTAAAAAATTCTTTATTAGTTAAGGTATTACAAATGTGTCCTCATCGCCCCCATAACCCTCGTTCCATCCTCCCCCCCCACTCATGCTAAACATAAAAATATACTAAAAGAAATAGTTTATATATACCCTTGTACATAGAAGTGAGGAGAAATAAATCTTCTGATAAACTAAGAACTCAAATATAAACACTGAAATCCATTGACTTGAAAAATTGAGTCTTGTGTCAATATGGCCTTCATTTA